GGTAACCCGCCTGTCCATAATCTCTCATTTTAATGTGATCACGTTTACATGATAAATGGGGTGACCCGCAAAGGCAGGTAGCCTGGTCTGGCAGACCGGGTAACCCTCTCAGCCGGGTCAAATTTTGCCATGTAAATTAACGATTCAAGGAGGGGTAACCCGCCTAGCCGAGGTCCGATTCGTGGTACATCAAATTCGCGCAAAATTTGGCGGTGGATTTGCATCATTATTAAAGTTAACAATAGAAAGCCATCACACTGAAGGTTGCAGCAAGAGCAGCAATTGAGTGTAGAAGAGCATTAATCGCCAAAACACGTGGTTTGCCATCATGTTTCTTGTTTACGTGCTTAGCGACCATTCAATAAGCTTGAGAAAGTGCACCCCGGGATGGCGTGGTTGTAAGATTGCATGTAAAGGAGGGTGAATTTTTTATCCCACCTAAGCGGGTAACCTCACCTTGCTGGGGTCCCCCACCTCCATGTAAACAGGCCCTTATTTTGCTGTATTGCATGAGAAATATGGTCCCTAGGGTACTCTAGTCCCGGTGAGCACTTCCATATTTGCTGCTGAACAGGATATGGTTTTCTGAGTCTTTTTAGCCTGCGGACACAGACGTATTCACGGTCGTCTGACGTTTGTGTCCGTAGGCTATGAGCCAACCTGCGAAGGCAGACGTTTCTCCTCGCTCATCGCCACTGAGGGACGTTTCGCGAAACGTCCCCAGCGGCGAAGAGCGAGGAGAAACGGATGTTTTCGCAGGCTAGCTATGAGTCTTCAGGATTCGTACTCAAAATTATTTTTTCCAAAATCATCTAATTCCAGTGTGTCAGTTTAAAAAGTTTAATCGAAACTACGTAATGCTGTATGGGAAACGAAACGAATCAGGGCCCTAAAAAAAGTTCTCTCGACAGGGTAGCGAAATGCATGATTTTTGTCTAAACACAGTCAGGTTTTGAAGACTTTGGCGGGACCTCGGGAAACGGGTTCCTGGTCTAAATACGATTTCCTTTCCCCGCTTTTTGTTCGAAAATTGCAAAGAGAAACTTAATAATAAAATGAATTGATTGAACCTTGGTATAATGCTGCCTCGGTACGGGTTTCAAGAAAATTTCGCCAAGATTTGTCAAATTAAATTAAATTAAATTGAATAAGATCGGTGAAGTTTGAAATAGTGCGAATAGACTTTTAAGTGACTTTATCGGTTTGTTGTCTTCCAAAAATTTTGCTACCATGGCAACGTGACGTACCGACTTCTCCTTTCTATTCAAATCGAAACTCAATGATCCCTCTTATTATCTGCGCACCCCTAACGCTCACTCCTCATTAGGCCTTGGGATAGACTTGCCGTATAAACCGTTTCACTTCTAACCGCCTGGCCAAAAAAATCCCCCCAAAATTAAATTTCGTTTTGTAAAATCGTAAGAAATTAATGGTACTCTGCAAAAGTTCTACTAAATAGGTTTCATTTGAATACCAGCACCATGGAATTTCGCCCACAGACTCAATGTTGTTCCGAGCCTCTTTTTCAAAGCGAGGCTAAGTGCAACAGGAAAGGTTTTGCACTTAGCCTCGTTTCTAAAGTGAAAGTTTATGGAACTTGGCAAAAATTACCTATTGTTGACAAAAGTCTGGTTGCTACTGCCCAAGCCAACCCGGAAAAGGGGGGAAGTGGTCTGACGGGGGTGTGCCTGACCCTATTTCAGACCAAAAAATGTCATTTTCCACACCTGTTTTCAGACAAGACCTCTAAAATCCATACCCGTTTTCAGACCTTGCCTTTAGGCAGAAATTATGTCATCATTACTTAGAGTAGAGCGCAAACAAAAAATTTCTTCAAACGCATTTCGAATTCACATATTTCTATTCAGTCGCTCTTATTCATTTGGGATTTAAAAGACAAGTATGTTTATACACTCCCGTAGTTTCCTCGAAAAACTATACCAGATTCCAGACCAAAATGGGAAAGTCTATACCTGTATTCAGACCATGTATTCGGTCGCTAGGGAAAAACAGCCATCCTATGTGCTAATTTGATAACATACGTATTTCTGCATAAAAAGCAGCGCTAAAGGAAATTCTGCACCGTTGTTAATTTAGGTGTTGAAGACGCGTCTGTATTCATTTTTTTTCAGGCTTTCTTTTTCGCATCTAAGTTACGAGCATAACAGCGATGATTTTTCACGTATGGAAATTAATTCTTTCTTTAATTAAAACTTTCTTTGACTGAAACATTTTCCCCACACCAACAAACAACTATGATCGCAGGCTACCTATAACATCTTGTTTTCTTGTCTGCATGATAAAATTTACTGAATAATTGATAGTGTACACAGCCATTCGTTTTCACTACACATCTTCCTTGTTAACAGTGACAGAACAGATTACTTTTACTCAAGTAACAAATACACTGAGTGAGAGCCTTTGAAGTTAAGTACCACACCGAAGTAATTGACACGGAATATGAAATTCTACTACATGATTTCTTGCGTCATAATCTTGTATAAAAGCATGGCCTCGTTTGTAAGAAGTCATTCTTGTAATGAAGGTATGTTTAAGAACCTTTTTTTTCTAATCTTCTTGGAACGCTAACAGTTAGCCAAATAAGGCAGCAATTTAACATCGAGGAGGGATATTTTGCGCATTTAACAGAATTGCGGTTTAGTTGATAAAACTCCTCCGTGCTGCAGTTTTCGAATTAAATACAACCATTATTTCTCCACTCTGTTCCATGTTTTTGTTTTTTTCGATTTGATATATTATTTTTCGTAGTGAGTTCAGCCCTCTAAGTTACTAAAATGCAAGCTCTTTGAGAGAAACTTAAGGAAAAGTATTCTTAAACGTTTAAGTAACCGGTCTGTTACTTACTGAAAAGAGTTAACGTAATGTTTTGTTTCCAAGTAAGTTGTTTTTCCATTAATTTTATATTATACGCTTTTTTAAAAAACATTTTGACATATCTGAGTGCTTAAAAGTCGCTTGACATTAAGTATTATACAGGACTTACCAATACTGCATTTAAAAGGTTAGAAGCTGCAGCTGGTAACAGCTAGATATCCAAGGTCTTGTGTTTTACTTTGAGTACCACCACTAACTGGAGACTCAGCTGGACTTATTTTGAAACAAGACAAATGCGACTCCATGGTGGAGAGTGTTTAGTCTTGAGAATTTTTTAATGAAGGGAAGTTGACCTCCAACACTGCAATATTTACCTAGATTCATGGCATTCAGATTTAGACTGTGTTTGAATTATTTACGCTGACTGTTTCTGAATTATTTACGCTGATGTTATCGCATTTATACTACCACATGAGAAATTTCTTCAATTTGATTGACTAAGAGCAGTGGTATTTCAGCTTAATTTGAAATACCTACATGTGAAAATTACAAAACCTTTGCGGGTAGTAGTATAAACAAATAATAGCATGATTTGTACGTGATATTTGGCATAAATACCACTAGTGATATTTCAAAATTGACTCAAATTTCACTCACCTAACGGCTCGTGAAATTACGTACAACAATTTCGAAATATCACTCGTGGTATTTATGCCAAATATCACTACAAATCATGCTATTACCTATACTAATTATAGATGGTAAGGCGTTTCACATAGAGGTACCTTCTTTCATTTGAAACATTTTGCGAAATCGGAGTTCTTTGGATTAGGTTATTTTACCAAGTCAATTTTAGTGGACAAAGTCAACGTGTTTGGAGAAGGTCAAGAACCTACTTAGTTTCCGAAACTGTAGAAACAAATCTACCTCACTACTTAACTATGAAGAAAGACAGAACAAATCTTTAACTGATGGCGGCTTGTGAGGTTTATAATGGTTATTGAACTGAGTGGAGCGCAATTTGGTCTAAAATGAATCATACGCGTGATTTCAAGTATAATGATTTCAGACCAAAACTGCGCGACACGAAGTTCAATTGCCACTTTAAGTAGCCGGTTTGATGAAAAGCGGAAACAAAAAGGCTTTTACATTTCATTTTTTTTAAAACAGAAATGATGCGATATAGTGTCCACATTAATTCACAGTCCGCAATCCACCATCCAAAATTCAGAATCATTCACTGCAGTGCACTGCAGTTACTTGCAATAAAAAGCCTGTAGTGTGAATTATCAACCTCAACTTTATTTTTTACTCTGTTTACAGGGTGTAACTTAGTACTAACAATTATTTGAAAATATATTATTACACAAGTACTTATTGACCCTGGGTACCGGAGGTTTTTTTGCGTGCGGTGGAAGGCCGACACATCTTCGGCTGAATGCCGAAGTCACGAGCTGGGAAGGTACGTGCACAGTGGGCAAAGAAGCGACAGCTTTCGAGCTGGCCACTGTCAGGTTAGCGGTAGAAATCATAAAGGTCCAAGATTTATAAATATGATAATGGGCATTCAAGTTAAAGTTATATACTAAGTTTACATAATATAGCTCTAGGTTATCAGGAACAGGCTTGATTCGTACTTGACAGGGGCACAATCAAAATCCCTCATTTACATGATGTAGTGATAGATCATTCTCTCTTGTCTACGAGAGCTAATCAAATTATTTTCCACACATTCCGGGAAAAATCACGTGGCCTCCATACACGATTAGCAACGGTGAATCACAGACCCCTCTTCTCCGATTATTCCTGACGGGAGGGGGGCTGGGGTCTGTACACAGGCTGAGGTGGGAGTTTTTCATTTCAGCGTCAGAATTTTAACATTCTGCGGAGCTTAACTAGAGACTATTGTTGTTGGGCCATCGTAGTTTGATCAAAAATAAAACACAAACAGCGGTGATAAACATTGTGAGTTTTCGCATTTTTTATAAACATGACGTTTCGTATGCTATTCAAAATACATTTTCAAAATTGATCTTAAGTGACCGTTGAAGAGAGAATGCTAACCGCTGAACAATATGCGGAATCCTTATTGAAATTTGAATAAGAAACCCCAATGAACTCTATTACAAGTATTAGAAATATAGTTCTGCTATTTTTTTCCTTAAGGTCCTTGTCGCGAATTGGCGTTCCCAAGTTTTCTTTTCTTTTCCGACAAGCGCCTGATGAACCACACCATAAAAACTTTAAAAGTTCGCGATCTGGATGAGTGTGAGTTGAGGTGTTACTACGAGCACAATTGTGTCAGTCTTAATTTTGAAAACAAAATGGTTGGAAATGGAAAATGCAGCTGTGAATTGAACAATTCTACACACGGAGAACACGATGAAGACTTTGTGGAGGCACCAAATTTCCTTTATCGTGGAACAAACGTAAGATCATTAAATTCTAACGTTATCCAGCTACAGTCTCCAAGCCTATTAATACCATAACCCAACGCCTCGTCCAAAGGGAAATGGCTGGAGCTCACCCTTTGGGCTTGACTGTGTTACAATATTTTGCAAAGATCAAAAATTAAGGAGATAGTTTCTGTTTGTGATAACTGCCCGGGATCATGTGAATATTATGGAATTTGACGCGCTGAGGGCCGGGTACGTCATTTATGATGGCAGCCGAGTTGGCCGTCATATTGGATGTCATTGAAAATTCAGGTTTATCGCAATGGAGTAAACGCAAACCATCTTTCTTTTGAACCCCCCGCCCCCAACTAAATCTGACAACTACACTAGGTCTCTTCCTTTCGCCATTAAACACCTATAAACAACGCCCCCTTATGTATGTAAGACGGGCTAATCCCTAAACCCGACGCTTAGAGTTGGGCTCGGACTGACAATCTTTACTCACTTTCCTTGAATCATGATAAGGCGGACACCTCTAGCAAAGGTTTAGAAAGGCTCAGAAGTATAAAGCAATATCTCTTTTCCATAATATTTTCCCCAGAATCCTTGTGGTAGTTCTCCATGCAAAAATAACGGGACTTGTCAATCAGGATTTACCAAGAAAGGATATCACTGCTTGTGTCGTCGAGGTTGGACAGGTGAAAGATGCCAAGATGGTAGGTCTGAAAAATGAACTAAATGAACGCAGTAGTTATGAAACCACGCAAGCTGTACCGCACTTAAAAGGAAGAAACCACATGTGAGAACATTAATTTGAAAAAAAAGTATATAATCCGCTGTAATATTAGCCCTGCCATTGTCGACAAAACCATCACAAGCGCAGGGCCTTCCAGACGGAAGCAGCATTTTCAGGAGCTCGTGCATTGATGAAAGACTTTTCCTTTCACTTTGGAGTGGATTCAGGATTTGCGGCACGTTTCTCTTTACTTTCACCTTCGTTTAGCCTAAAATTCTCGATCTGAGTTATAATTTGAAGTTGAGTTAATTTTCGGGGGACCGTTGACCTGCCGTGTAAACGAGACAGTTCCACTGTCCAGTCATCGTTTTCTTTGCAAAGTAAAGATATTAACGAATGTGATGAAAACAGTCACGAGTGTAGCCAGAACGCAGATTGTACAAACACAAAGGGATCTTACAGATGCAACTGCAAGACTGGATTCTATGGAGATGGATACAACTGCACAGGTATCCCAGTGTTTACTTGGGTCCTTAGTTGTTGTAAACAGTTCAGAAAAGATCTAACCATCAATAAACTGCAAAAGATCATCCTCTTAGGAGCGGCCCGTATACTAAGAAGATTTCTGTCCATCCAGTAAAATATCCCTCTAGCAACTCAGGACCAAGGAATGGGCCAGTTTCTAACAGACTACAAGGAACAACAACAATAATAATAATAATAACAATAATAATTAATTAATTAATTAATTAATTAAAGAGCCGGTATCCAGAAGAAAAGGTAGAAGAGTGGATTTTAAATCCAGCGTGCTGATGGAAGTGGAAAGCTCAGTTATAAGCGAGGTATTATTTCTCTGGCCAAGAAGACGAAAAGGGGAGCTTGTAGCAGAAATATTATGCTAGTATCATCCATTGATCTATTTGCATAGGAAAGAGAGGGAGAGAAGACTTAAAAGAAAGGGTGGCTTATTCACTGTCTTCCGCTTTATAAAGAATATAAACGCAAGTGAGATGTAAGTAGTTAATTCACACTATTACAACACTATTCTAGATATCAACGAATGTCAAGAAGAACTGAGATGTGGAAAGAACGCAGCTTGCACGAACAATGAAGGATCTTTCAGATGCACCTGCAATATTGGTTACTATGGAGACGGATACATCTGCACAGGTATACCACTGTTAGAGCAAACTTCCCAAGACTGAAAGCAGTTGCAAGCGAGGGTAAAAGACATCACTGATTTTCTGATCACCATCAGAAAAACAGCCTGAAGTATGATGATGTTTACCGGTTTGAGGTTGCCAATAGTTCCTGGGAAAGAAAAAAAAAACGGCCATGCAATAAAGTGTTAACAATAACTGGTGCGCTAGATGGAGAATTTTTCTTCTTTAGCTTTTGTAAAAAAAACCCACTGCACTGAACACCAACGAATCTTCTAAAGTCTGAGGCATTGGCTGCTTTGACAGTTATGATCGTTAATCACGTAAATCGTAAACTTTTAAACAAAACATCATATGAGAAAGGACTGGTTTGTTTTTTAGAGGAGTTAAGGAAAACTCTTTAACAACTGCCTCGGGCAACATAGTGTCTCATCGCTAGCAGAAATGTTGATCAGTCTGATATTTTTCTGACGAGGTAAAAACTGGTTTGGCTGCTCTTCTGATTTAATTCTTCTCGATCTTAATAATAATTATGCTTATGAAAATTTCGCTATTAAATTGTCTCCTATGGCTTCTCTTTTAACACGAACAAATTGATTATCTCACTGTCACAGTCATCTCACTCTCTGATCTTAAATATCTTTTGTTCTCAAACTAGAGTGTTACACAATATTTGACTTCGAAGACCATGATTTGTCAAATTGGACTTTGAATGGTACAGCATTCAATAATCAGCCAACATACGGGAATAACCCATCAGGAAGGAGGAATAAGTTTGAGAGCAACCACAAAGGGGATTGGTGGATTGGTACCTACGAGAATCGGTCCAGTCCCTCTGAACCGTTTGGGGGACAGCAAGGTGATGGTCCTCAAGGCTCAATGACGTCACCCAGTTTTCAGATTACTGGAAAGTTGCTTACCTTCCTGATTGGATCAGGCTGCGACAAGAGTTTTCCAAACCTTCGTGCCGAGCTTATTATTGGTGGGGAAGTGGTTCGCAATAAGACGACAAAGGCGTGTGATGAAGCTATGAAAGAGGAAAGCTGGAATGTAACAGATTACGCTGGTAAAAATGCCCAGTTGCGTTTGGTTGACAATTCCTCAGGGGACTGGGGTCACATCAATTTTGATCACTTACAAGCTTGCCATAAACTCATTTCAGATATGGATTCTTGAGTTCTCTTGGTGTTCATTTTGAGCAGTTCTGTAAGATGAAAAGAGACAAAGGACTTGTAAGACTAGAGGCGGTTTTGTTTTGGGAATCATTTACAGAATGTACAGCTCTCTTTGTTTTTCTTCTGTGATCAATCAGATCGTCTGTACTTTTATTTTATTTCTATTTTATGTAGTGATTTCGGTGAACAATAAGTGTAGTAGAGTTCGGATGTTTCGAATCAGCTCTGCGGTATTTTCCCAAAAGTTAAAACAAAAGTAACTTTATTCGCTCTTAAAAACCCAATACAATGGGAGTCATTTCTCTCCCTGAACCAAATTACAAACACAAAACTAAATATAAAGGTAACGAGCTAACAGCGGGGTGTAAGAAGCTTGTTCTTAAAGTTAGTGTACGATTAACATAAGAATTATGTGAAGAGTTTAGTAATGATAATCCTTGTAAAAATTGGGACTTTCAAAGTAGCAGAAAGCACTTCAGAGCCTTTCTTTATCTTTATTGTTTGACTAAAAGCTGTAAAAGGTAGCAAAACGTATACATACACCAGGAACCGGGGCCAATAGCGCACATATCAGGAGAATGCACCCAACGACAGTTTCCTCTTTAATACATGTACATTGAAAACACTTTTTAGGCTATCCAAAGTACTTTTAGAGCTGTAGAAATTCATTTTAAGTGGCGCTATAAAATTTGTATCTGTTCGGTCACCTTAGAGGAACTTGGGTCTTTTCGAAATTTTAAGGGCTTGTTGATTCGAGAAACGGTAGAGAGGTCAAAGAGATTGCCTGTTCTCTTAAAGAAGATACTATTTATTCCACTACTTCAGAGTTTGCTAAAGTTTCCTCAGACTCAAGTAGAAAGGTAACATTGGTTACTGCTTTGAGAATATCAAACCGCGAGGAATTGAACACGATAGAACTCCCTGGCTCTGTTTCCATCTTTCCAACAAGGGATGGTGTAGTACTTTTAAAAAATGACGACACAGAGTTATGGACCTTTGACATGTCCACTTCTCTTCGGTCTCTCTCTGAGGTTACCCTAAGTGACGTTGTTTTTTCTATTTTAGAGGAACGGATAGCCCGTTTTTATTCACCTGGACTACTGCATGTCTTTTGGTCAGATCACTACAGTTAAAAAACCACCTGTTGATCGAAAGCGACCGTGACCACTTTGGGTGTTACGGTTTTAAAATAGATTTCCCACTTAAGCTCGATCTCTATGGATAGCCCGTTTTTTATTCACCTGGACTACTGCATGTCTTTTGGTCAGATCACTACAGTTAAAAAACCACCTATTGATCGAAAGCGACCGTGACCACTTTGGGTGTTACGGTTTTAAAATAGATTTCCCACTTAAGCTCGATCTCTATGGATAGCCCGTTTTTATTCACCTGGACTACTGCATGTCTTTTGGTCAGATCACTACAGTTAAAAAACCACCTATTGATCGAAAGCGACCGTGACCACTTTGGGTGTTACGGTTTTAAAATAGATTTCCCACTTAAGCTCGATCTCTATGCTTACTGTAAGAACTACTTTGCGAAGATCTTTTAGCGACCACAAGGAGCTGTACCGTAACTTTACAATTGCAATCCAATGAATTCTCTTTCAAAAAGTAGATGTGTCAGGTCCTCGTCTTCGAAAAGACCCTCTATAGTTCCATTCTCGTAAGCATTCACCTTCTGTAAGCAAGCGCTCAATTGTTTTCGCAGATTGGGAGGTCACTTACGGCAGGTACGTCAACTCCCGGGGTGGGGAGAGGGCGGGGGGGGGGGTTCACTCGAGGAACGTTTGGGTAGAGGTGTCCTGTCAAGTACTTTGCCATCGCGGTCAATGACTTTGGAATTAGATAAGATGATTGTTGTTATTGTTTTCAATTTATTTTATTATGCCATTTTACGGAAAAGAAAAACATCACTGGTGTACTTACCTAGTCAGTAAAAAGTATAAAAATGCCGTTTAGCCAGCCGTATAGGCACAAGAAAATGGATTTGGTAAGCTGATTCATAGTTTTGACACCGAGTATGTAGATTAACCCTCTCAAGACATTTTAATGCACCTTCCGTTGTTTTGAGCGGGGCATGATTTTCAGAAAAAGGAAAAGCAGGTCATTTAGGTGGAACCGGTGGTCATTACTACGAAAAATAGCCTACTGTTCCATTTATTTTAGTGGCCACAATAATTTCCTGCTGGTTCTAAAACAATGAAAAGGTGCATTAAATTTACCCGCTCGGTCCGCGCTACGCGCTCGGTCATTGTCTTTAAGACGGCCTCGAAGGAGCCCGGGAGAAGAAAGGGCGGGAAGGGGGATCTCTACGACGGCTGGAAGCGGGGAAGACATTAAAAAAGACAAGCTTTCGTTATTTGTTATTGCTTATCATCCACTGAAAGAAACGAACCCAAACAACGTTCACCGAGGCTTAAAGCAAAATTTTATATGCGAGAAAAGTCAAAAACCAAAAATTCGTACTCGGGATAAAGAAAAAACAGCATTACTTGCGGTCAAATTGGAAACCTTTCCAAGTCGCTTACACCATAGGTCATGAATGAGATGGCATGACACATGTACACGTGTGTGGACTGTGTCAGTCGTGTAAGTGTCTCGTCTCTCTCGCTAAAGGGCGGGAGTCGGGAGACAAAGGGATACAAGGGTACGGAAGGTGGGAGGATGATCAACCCTGTCCCATCCCCCCACCGCTTTACTACTGCTACCAGAATCCTTCACGGTTTTTCTTTCTTGTGAAAATTGGGGCTTTCTTTTTAAAACCTCGCTGCGATGACATGACCACGGTATTTTAACATTACCTTGTAAATGAAACATGAAGTGTTGTAAAGAGTGCTTATTGAATGTAATTTAAGAACTGGTGGCTTTTTTTATTCATAAATTATGCAGAAAATGCTATTGATGCAAAAAATTATTCAACCAGTTTTCTAGCATTTTTTAATTTTTTATTTTTAATTGACTGTGAAAATCCCCGCACTTAAGTTAAGTCTGTCTGTCTTAAATGTAATAAGTGTCGTAGTCTTACTCAGCCTGTCTCGTGTTGCTTTTAATTTCGTGACTATGTACTAATTTTAACTACTCTTATATTTTTTAATTTTCTGAGCCCGTAGTAACTGGCTCACGCTGTTTCGGAATCCCTGCCACTTTTGTTTTTGTTATTCGTTTGATTACCTGAAT